GAAGACAGAGGAGAATATAATGAAGAGAATATACCAAAATGGGGGTAGAGTTTAAGAACAATCTGACAGTAACCAGAGGGGAGGTGGGAGGGGATAATGAGGGGGAAAGAGGGGGAAGGGTTTTCAAGAATGGCTATAAAGGACACATTCACAAAACCAAGGAGGAGTTGAATCAGGGGAGGGAGGTGGGGATGGCTGGGGTCAAGGGGAGTGGCAGAGGGAAAATGCAGACAACTGTACTTGAACAACAATAAAATAATTGTAAAAAATAATAATAAAACAATAATAAAATAGGAAGGTGAAATATACCTGGGCTGGCAACCTCAAAAGCCATTACCATTTGACAGATATGAGGAGCAGTGGGAAGAAACAGCTGCCAGTATTGACCAGATTTGACAAGAACCACGTGGGAACCACATCATAGGGACAGGAAGCCTTCAGGAGAGGAATACAGATATTACCCAACACTGGGTAGGAAAAGATTCATAGGAATATATTTTTCAACTTATCTTTCTGGCTGTCCTCTGACTTTTCAAAATGCCTCTCATTAGCCAAATCCAACCATAAACCAGAGGTCATATACTTTAAACTCATGGGTACAGAGCAGGGTGCAAAGTTGACATGGAGGGTCAAACAAGAGGTTTCCAGAAGAAGAGCCATTGGCGTTTTTATGTTTATATATGGGAGAAATAACTCATGAAAAATGAAATGGAAAAAGATAAAGCGCAAAGTACAAGCCTGCTAGAAAATTGTCCCTGAATAGGCTGAAGGAAGGTGTGTATGTTGGAAGAATGGGCAGGAGTGCAGGGATTCAGAGAAAAGGAGAGACACCTCTTCCTAAAACAGGGGTGTCCAACCTTTTTGTCTCTGAGCCACAATGAAAGAAGAGTTGTCTTGAGCCACATATTAAATACATTGTGACACATAATCACCAAAAAATCTCATAATGTTTCAAGTAAATGTACAATTTTGTGTTGGCTCACATTCATAGCCATCCTGGGCCACAGATTGGCCTTCATCAAGACAGAGATGGCCATCTAATAATGGTTCCCATGGGACTGGGGACTGAGTATCTCTGTTTCCTGACCTGAGCTGGAAACACCTCTGAGATCATTGGGGGCCTTTTGGAGCTGTGATGAAAAGACACCAAACCTTGATGCACATGGGAAAAACAATTAGAGAGAGCCTCCTGGAGGTCCTGGAAAGTGGCAGAGGAGGATCAGGGCAACCCCCAGGCTCCAGTCTGTGCAACAGCCCAGACCCCAGGGGACAGGAGAAGATGTACTTTCAGCAACAATGGCATAAAAAGAGGTGTAGCCAAGAGGGTTGAAGCAGCTACAGAAGGCAGTGCCATTTGGAGAGGTTCTTTCCAGGACCTCCTAGCAGGGCTTACCAGGGGCCAAGGTGAGTGGAGGAGGCAGTTTCCTTGCTCTGTGTTCATGGCTCTCAGTTCTGGTGTTCTCCTGTAATCTGAGCTTTCTCAGTCAGCTTCCTTAGTTCAATCCTTCCAACACTGGCCCTCTTTTCCCTAAAGATCTTCACCTGTACAAAGCAGAGGCCTGAGTTCTGGAGAAACAAGTAGAAAAAATGAGACAGAACTCCCCTCTGGTCATGTTAGAAAGAACAAAAGTTCTAGCAGAGGAAAAAGCAACCACCATAGAGCCCAAGGCAGGGGAGGCAAGTGGGCTGACAGACTGGTGGGAACAGGATGTCCTCCCACTTAAATCATAGATCCAAGATCCTGAGGAGAGAGAGGGATGGAAGTCACTTATTTCTGATTCAAAAATAAAATCAAAAACCAAAACTCAAGAATCAAACCACCAAAAGTAATAAAGACTATTTATCCAAAAAGCATTATTTAGCACCCCACACTGGGGTGAGCTCCAGAGGCATTCTACTTAAAGTCCAAGCCAAACAGGTATGCTGACTATCAGTGCTTCTTTATATTGTTGAGGAAATTATAGACATTGTAATAAGATGCAAAATAAAAATGAAAGCTCACACTATTCCAAGTTCTCTGAAATATAGGTAATACATTTGTCTAAAAAAAAATTCTAGGAATTTACTGAAAACCTATTAGCTTTGCAATGCAATAGTGTAAAGTAGCTATATTTTGTGGAATTTTTTAATAAAACAATAATCATTACAAGGTTTCTGTAAGTAATAATACCCAATTAGGAAATATAATGGGACAAAAACAGTAATATTCCTGAGAAAAAAAATTTCCAAAAACACCTAGGACAGAAAGGTCACACAGCTTTTTAAATGAAAAGACTGGAGAGCATTATGCTAAGTGAAATAAGTCAGGTGGTGAACGACAAATACCATATGATCTCACATATAAGTGGAACCTAATCAACAAAACAAATGAATGAGCAAAATAGAACCAGAGACTTGGAAACAAAGAACAAAATGACAGTGACCAAAAGGAAGTGGGGAGAGGCACAAGAGGGGAAAGAATGGGAACAGGCAAGCAAAGGAACACAAATAGAGTCACGGGCACAGACAATGGGGGGAGGATTGACTGAGAGCGGGGGGAATGGGGTAGAGTGAACAATGGGGGCAAAAAGGCAGGATAACTATAACTAAACAACAGTAAAAAAGAAAAAAAGAAATTAGGTTAGCACTAAAGAAAAGATGCTTTGACTTAGTAAAATGTCATTAAAAATAAAGTTCTCTTAAAGAAAAAAAAGAAAATGAAAGGAAAGAAACGATTCAGAGGGGTAAAAACATTTCTTCCACATTTAATTTATGTTTTAGTTTTATATTAAAAAATACCACAACCAGCTTTTTTTATTTAAAAGTGGATCTGAAATTGTTACTAAGACTCTTCCACATGTAAATAGACTAATTGAACTAGTACTAGAACTAAAAGCAGAGAATACTCTCCAGTCCAGCAATGATCCTTAAATATATGTCTGAATTTATATTTGACAAAAAAAACACATTGTTAATTAATAGGTAGAGGAAGGCTTCTTTACTCATGCATGCTGGAACAATGGTTTAACTCTTTCTGGGTGAAATTAATTTAGGTATGTTGTCACTCCATGCCATAACTCAAATTGGTTAAAAATTAATTTTAAAATAAATTTTTGTAAATAAATGGAAGTTAATTCTTTTTAAAATGTGTGCTTTTCATTATTTAAAGCCTGAAATAATGAAATAATGAATTTAAAGTGCACTTGTTATGAATACACAGAAGTTTAAGTGTACGCACAGGTGTAACTTGAATCAACTAGTGACTGCATAAGTGGGTGGAGCAACAAGTCGGTGTTTCTCTATCCAGCTTGCTCTCTATCTAAAAATCAATAAGCAGAGATATTTTGAAATGATAGATTTTAATAGAAAATGAATAAAAGGAATTATTTCCAAAACTTCAACAGATATAGTATTTTCAAGATATAATGAAACTCATACATATTAATCAGATGTGCTGCCAGACTATATGCTAAGCACTTGAAAAACATTATTTCATTTAATACTACAAAAGAGTTGCACATAAAGCTAAAAGAAAAGATTGACTATTATACAATGGGGGGTAAATGCCCTTTGAAAATGTCAAAGATCACTAAATAATGAAGGGAAAGGAACTAAAATTAAAATTTTAATTTTTACTTATTCCATTAATAAATAGTTTTAAATTAAAATTTTCAGTTATGGTTGGGTGTGATGAAATAGACACACTCATGAACAAATTCTGGGTGTGTAAAGTACTACAATATATCTATGAAGCAACCTTCTAGTGTACGTCAATAGCATTAAAAGTGCACTACTGTCATACAGGACCAGAAATGCTCTTGCAGACAATTTGGCAGTGTCAATCAAAATAATTTTTCCCATTGCACCAGGAATTCACTTCTTGGAAATTATCCTATGTACAAATTTATATATATACTTACAGATATATGAACAAGCACATTTTAATCATTTTATTTACAGTGGCAAAATACTGGAAATACCAATGTTCATCAAAAGTTCTCTTTTTTTAAGATTTTATTTATTTATTTTTAGAGAGGGAAGGGAGGGAGATAGAGAAAAGTTCTCAAGAAAATATTGGACATCCATGTGGTAGAAAAACATGCAACTTCACAACATGAAGTATATCTATATGGAGATGTGGAATAGACTCCAAGATAATAACTAGCTAATAAAGAAAAGTCGAGGAAACAAAGGATAAGAAAGGTATGATCAGTATGATTATATTTGTTTTTGTCTTTTATGGAAAAATAGTTAATACATGTAATTTTGTCCATGAAAAAACTATCTCTGGAAGGATTCTCAAGAAATTATTATTGACTGCCTACGGAGAAAAGAAAAGAATTTGAGAATCCTAAGAGTGGGTTTAATGTTTTTATTACGTTTATTTTTTAACATGCATATATATAACACTCAGAATATCAAAATACTGTTAGAATTAATATGTTAAGATGGCTATGTTTTTTGCATGCATCACTTTTATTTCTGAAATCCCACTCTAGCGAAATAATCTGAAAATAAAATATTGGTTAGTAATTTGAGAAATAGTCAAATATAGGAATATAAAGTGGTCATTAAAATCAAGACTCTAGATTGCTTTATGATACTGAAAGTCTGGTTCATTTATATTCATGCAGTAATTTTTTTACTGAGTGCCTATCTTAAGTCTTAGAACATATTGATAAAAGACAAAGATACAAAATTATCTCCATATGATATAAACCAAATATTAATATATGTTATCTGTTGGTGATAAGATTTATCATTGATGTATTTGGACAAGCAAATGGTGATAACAATTAGCTATTCTAATCTCTCTATTTACAATTAATTTTGGTTTTCTTTATTGTTACTCTGTGGAATATCTCCCTGAGTCAAAAATAAAAAATAAAAATATGGTAATTCACAAATAAACTGGGTCATTGTTGGAAGTCTCTAATTGAGACCCTTAGCTGAACTTTCAAATGCAACCCCTTTCCTATTCCAGTTTCATGGACAGACACTGAGAACAGGGCACTGGTGCCATGGATACCTCCACCAATCTTACCAACAGTTCCAGTCTCCAGATTTCCCTGTTCATCTTGATGGGGCTCCCAGGCATTCATGAGTGGCAGCACTGGCTCTCCCTGCCCCTGGCTCTGCTCTATCTTTTAGCTCTTGCTGCCAATATCCTCATCTTGATCACTATCCAACATGAATCCACACTCCATGAGCCCATGTACCATCTCCTGAGCATATTGGCAGTTGTGGACATTGGCTTGGCCAGCACTATTATGCCCAAGATTATAGCCATCTTCTGGTTTGATGCCAAGGCCATCAGCCTCCCTGAATGTTTTGTTCAGATGTATGTCATCCACTATTTCTTTTGCATGGAGTCTGGTATCTTCCTCTGCATGGCAGTGGACAGATACATAGCCATCTGTCACCCACTGCGATATCCCACCATAGTCACTGAAGCTTTTATGGTTAGAGTCATAGGATTCATGGTGCTCAGAAATTGCCTGTTCACCATCCCAGTGCCTGTACTGGCTGCCCAAAGGCTCTACTGCTCCAGGAATGAAATTGACCACTGCCTGTGTTCTAACTTGGGTGTTATCAGCCTGGCTTGTGATGACATCACTGTGAACAAATTCTACCAACTGATGTTAGCTTGGATCCTGGTTGGGAGTGATATGGCTCTGGTTTTTTCTTCCTATGCCCTAATCCTTCACACTGTACTGAGGCTGAACTCAGCAGAAGCAATGTCCAAGGCTCTGAGCACCTGCAGCTCACACCTCATCCTCATCCTCTTCTTCTATACAGGTATTATTGTGCTGTCTGTTACACACCTTGTAGAGAAAAAGATTCCCCTTATCCCTGTACTCCTTAATGTGCTACACAATGTCATTCCCCCTGCTCTCAACCCCATGGTTTATGCCCTCAGGATGCATGAGCTCAGACGGGGCTTCCAGAGGCTGTGTAAGTGGGTATAGAATTGTCCACCAATTAACAACACTTTCAAAAGGCCAATTGCTTTGGCTAGTGTGTCTCAGTTTTAAAAATGTAGTCTGGTACACTGAAGGGTCCTTGGTTTGATTCCTGGTCGGGGCACGTACCTTGGTTGTGGGTTCAATCCCAAATAGGGTTTCATGACAGAGGCAAATGTTTCTCTCGATGTTTCTCTCAGCAGTATTTCTCTCTCTTCCTCTCTCCCTTCCTTCCCCTCTCTCAAAGTCAATGTACACATTCTCGAGTGTGAATAACAAAATACTTAAAAATAAAAGGCACATAGGTGTTAGGAAGAGGTTGTATTTCTGAATAGACCTATATGGTAAAAAATGAAAGAAAAGACCAAGAATATCAGGAAAGCTGTCAGTCCCATAATCAAAATAGGCACATGAAAAAATATGAGATTTCCTATTACTAGAAATAAGTAAAAGTGAAAAATGAAATGTCCTTGACCATTGTTGCCACCCAGAGATTGACACACATATACACACACCTACCATGCTTTAGATATGATATACACAGGCAGAAAAATCACTTAATTGCTTAGTAATTTTCTCCCTTGTAAAAGAAGAAAATGGTCTTAGAAAAAGCCCTAGAAAATTACTTCCAAATAACCAAGTAATTAAATTTAAATTAATTTTAAATATTTGCACGTCTAACAAAAATGCACTTTTTTGAGTACAAGTACCCTGAAACATGTTCATATTGTACTGCCTCTGATCCTAGTACACAACTCTGAGCATAATGGATGCTTAATTAACACTTCATTCACAATATAGTCTGTTAGGAGATACAGGTCTGCTGAATGCCATATCCTGGAAAATATCTTGGATGATGGTCTGGAAGATGACCTCAGGAAGTTTGTATATGATTTCATATTGGAGGACCACCTCTTAGAAGCAGCACTAAGACAGAAACAATGTCAGAAACCATAAGTTCATACACAGCTGGTGGGAATGTAACCTGATGCAGATATTTTAGAAAACAGCCTGGTAGCTTCTTAAGTTTTTGAACAAAAGTGACCATATCACACTACTATTACACTCTTTGGTACATATACTCAAGAGAAATTGAAAACACATATCCACACAAAAATTTGTACATGAATGTTTGTAGAAACATCATAATAGCCAAAAAATGAAAATAACCCAAATGTGTATCACCTGATAAATGGGTAAACAAAATATGATCTATTCATATGGTGGAATAGTACCCAGCCAGAAAAGGTATAAAAGTTCTGACACATGCTACAACATGGATGAACCTTGAAATTATTATGCTAACTTGAAGAAAACAGGCAGAAAAAGGCATATTGCATGACTCTATATGAAATGTCCAAAATAGGCAAATCCATGAAAACAAAAAGCAGATAAATGATTGCTATGGGCTAGAGAAGGGAAATGGGGAAAAACTGTCTAAAGGGTACAAGATTTCTTCCGAGGGTGTTGAAAATTTCTTTTCCTTGTTTGTTTGTGTAAAGCCTTTATTTAAGCTTAGTTCAATGGTAGAGGACAGGGTTAAGAATGGATTAAAAGTTAAAATTCGGGTTAGTTCTGCACATGAGAATGTTAATAGACAGACAAAGGTGTCAGCCTTGTCAGTTTTCATTGAAAGCTTTAGAAGACAGCTAAAATTAATGACTGTGTTATATTTTGTGTACTGCTATTTCTATTTATGTCATCCAAACTCCAGTTATACATAAGCTTATGGTTCAGCTGGCTTTGAAGTTAATATTGGGAAGAAGACCATGATAGAAACAAGTTGAGGATTGAAAATTATTAAAGTTTGCTGTAATGTTTTCTAGACTTGTGTGTTAAACTTGTAAAGTAGTGAGAAACATAGATATTAATGTCTCTTGAAATAAGATAGGTTTAACCTCAAGTCTCTTAAGTATGGTGTTAGAAACTTAGGTTAACTTTGTTTTTCAGGCTGAACAAGTTATGAAAAGTTCACTGCAGAACTATTAAGAAACAACCTGTGTTACAATTCTATAATGAAATGGAATGTTATATATTGATATTTTTGTAAAAGAAGCCTTTTGTCTACTGTATTTAGCAATGTATTATTTCACACAGAGAAACACATGGTAATAAAGAAACATGAATGCACTGTATTAAATTCCTTGAAATCAGGAAGTTGCTTAAGTTTATGAGGAAAATGCATCTAGAAAAGTCAACTAATCATGCTCAGCCTACTTTTCATTCTCTGAAAGTTTTAGTGCAGTGTTTGTGTTTTATTGTTTTTCACTTGCAATTATCCCCATTAGTCTCCCCTGCCCTACCCACTCCCACCTCCCAGTCAATCCTCCCCCTGCCCCAGGTTGTTTTTGTCCATGGGTCCTTTATACACATTCCTTGACATCAAGGAAATTTCTGTAATTAGAAATGATAGTTGCACAACATTGTGAATGTGCTGAAAGTCACTTTAAAATAGGTAAATTCCTAAATGTTGTGTTCTATAAATTTAATCTCAATTAAAAATCAAATAAACTTTCTTCTTGCAATTTCTCTCCAGTATTTTCCACTAACAAAATTTCCCATTGTTCCAGCTGTCAAAAGCAGTTAAAGGGCCCAGATCCACTTACCAAAGCCAGCCAAAAAGTGTGAGTTTGTAACTTATAATATGTTGATTACCATCATGGTATACACATTTGACTACTCAACTCCCATATACACTCTATAATAGACATTCATATTCTCATATGACAAAACTCAACACTTTTATTTTATTTTAAAAGATACAGCTATTTTTCACACAAATAAAGAAACTCTCACCTTTTTCCAAAAATAACAAAATGCACAGTCCAAAAGTCATTGAATTGTATGCATTACTGGATCTATATTATTTCTTCTTCAAATTCACTCACTGAATATTCTGTTACCTAAAGACAAAATTGTAAAGTTAATTCCCAATAATTTTACATAAAATAAAAATGGAAAGGAGAGAAAAGAAAATGATTAGCTTATAGAAATAAAAGCTTGCATATGAAAAGTAAGTAAGAATATCCAAAGCTACTACATTTCTAATTTCTATAATTGTTTACAAGGTCACAACTGATATCTACGTTTCCCCCAACTATCAAAACTTGGTAGGGTAACCAAAACCTTCATTCCTGAAGGGCCAGAATTCTAAGTCATCCTTCTAAGGATTTAGCAATCTTTTTTGTTGGTATACTTTTCTGTTAACCTTTACATGAAAGTACTACTCTGAGTTCCCAACCAAGGCTACCTGTCTCTATTTCAGAAGCAAACTAATTTGCCCTTGGTAATTAATTGGAATTCATCACTCCAGATAGTAGATTAATTCCTGTTTTTTCTTTGGTTCTGTTGTGTTAGGTGGTAAAATGGGTCCCATGATATGAGGAACCAAAATTAATATTTCTATTGTCTAATCCTCTGATCTTATTAGAAACATTTGCTTCCACACTTGCTGGTATGGCTCAATGCATTGAGCACCACCCTGTGAACTACAGTGTTGCCAGTCTGACTTCCAGTCAGGGCACAAGCCTGGGTTGTGGGCCAGGTTCTGTTAGGGGCACATGAGGGGCAACCACACATTGATGATTCTCTCCCTCTTTCTCCCTCCCTTACCCTCTGTCTAAAAATAAGTAAATAAAATCTTTTAAAAAATGAAACATTTGCTTCCATTACCAAAATATGCAAATCTAAATCCAGAATATGTGCCTATCCCAGCAGGGCCCATCAATACCCTCCTGGGGCCAATGAAATCCACTTGCTAGCTTTATGTCACTCTGGATAGTGGCCCAAACTGGTCTTAACTCTCTGGTTGTCCCTGTTGACAAAGAACAATTTTAGATTTCAGAGGGAGTCAGTGGATGAGACCATTTATCTATATATTTATTTATTTACTGCCCATCATAGTATCACTAGAATGACCTCATGGCCACTCATCTCACATACTCGGGAAGAATCCTCCAAAAAGTGGGTTAGAGCATTTACCTGTTGATTCTATTCCACTTCTGAATTCAGAAGAGGGTTTATCTGACAAGCAGCAATATGCCCCTCATTAAATTCTTCTTTTCTAAAGTCATAATGTTTCATAATCTTGCATACCATAATGAGATTGCTCTTATTATTGTCATACTTGTTAGACTATATCACCAGTCCATTCAAAATCATATATGTAATTCTGCCACTATGATTAAGTTCATCTAATGCCTTGAAGCAGATTCACCCATTGAGCAGATTCACCCTTCCTTTCGGCAAGTTGATTAGTGAAAACTATCACAGAGAACAGACTTTCTCAGAGCAGATGACATTGTATTAGATATGGTAATTTTAGGTATTTATATATTTTTCTGAAATACCTTGTGATTTCAGCTGTAGAGAATAAGCCTACCTGAGAAATGCTTGCCAGTGTTCTTCCTTTGAAAATCTGTATCATCTCTCCCCAAAGACTTTTTCAGTGGCCTGAATAATAACTACATCATTATTCTCAAATCCTTCTTGGTTGTGACTTCACATTTTTATCAACATATAATGTATTGTTATCAAACTTAAGAATGTAAGTAACTACAGTTCAGACAGAACTGCTTACTTGCCTGACCATGTTCTTTGACAGTCAAGAAGAAAATTTCCCAAATGTTCTGACAAATAGGTGACTCTCTTTGGCTGTAACCTCACAATAATTTATAAGTTAATATATCTTAATTTTAGCAAGCTGCATCATTTTTAAAAACTCAGCCACCTTAATGTTTTATTTAATAAACTTGCTGAAATATTAGGTATATTTGATTTGGCAAAAAATGCATTTCACATATTGATTAAATATATAATGTACTCCATCTTCATAAACTATTATTAATAAGACTTTACTTTTTATTTTAATTTTTTGAAATTAACTTTCAAAACACTCCCATTTACTTTTATGTTACTTAACAGTGATACTAGAAATTCTAATAGTCAGACATTAATAGAAATGCAGTAACATTCAAGAGAGAAGGGTAAAATGTTACTGGATGTGAATACCAGCATCACACTTTGAAGTTCATATAGACCATTCTGCAACTCAAACTCCTCAATGTTTATTCACCTTTTTTTTGTGTATGTTTCAATAAAACTTTATTTACAGAAACAAGAAGCAGGCTGGATTTGTCTGGCAGATCACGGTTTGTGGACCCGTGGGCTAGGCCTAAGTGACTGCTCCAGCTTCATTCCTCTCCATTCTGCTCCCCTCTGCTCTCTGGTTCTACCATCATCGTATATTCCCTTCCCATAGAGCTTCACTCAGGATGGCCTGCCTCAGCCTGTAATACTTCTAATCTCTTACTGCTCACATTCTTCACCAACTTATTCTTTTTTTATTGTTGTTCAGTTTATACATGTCACTATTTTCCCCCATTACTCTCCCCTGCCCTACCCAATCTTCCTCCCCGTTGTCTTTATACATGTTCCTTAATTTGACCTTCTCCCTCTTCCCCCTGTTATGCCCCTAACCCATCCTCTCTGGTGACTTTCACTTTGTTTTTATTTCCATGTATCTGGTTCTATTTTGCTCGATTGTTTGATTTGTTGATTAGGTTCCACTTATAGGTGAGATCCTATGGTATTTGTCTTTCACTGCCTGGCTTATTTCACTCAGCATATTGCTGTCCAGTTCCATCTATGCTGTTGCAAAAGATAAGAGTCCCTTCTTTCTTTACACTGCATAGTATTCCATTGTGTACATGTACCACAGTTTTTTAATCCACTCTTTTACTGATGTTCACTCAGACTGTTTCCAGCACTTGGCTATTGTAAATAATGCTGCTATGAACATTGGGACACATAGGTTCTTTCGCATTGATGATTCAGGATTCTTAAGGTATAATCCCAGCAGTTCAGTTGCTGGGTCAAAATGTAGTTCCATTTTTGGTTTTTGGAGGAAATTCCATACTGTTTTGTATAGTGGCTGCACCAGTCTGCATTCCCACCAACAGTGTCCTAAGGTTCCCTTCTCTCCACAACCTCGCCAGCACTTGTTGTTTGTTGATTTGTTTATGATGCCCATTCTGCCCAGTGTGAAGTGGTATCTTGTTGTGGTTTTAATTTGCATTTCTCTGATGGCTAGTGATGCTCAGCATCCTTTTTTACATCTCTAGGTCCTCTGTATGTCCTCCTTGGAGAAGTGTCTGTTCAGGTCCTTTGTCCATTTTTCAGTTGGATTGTTTATCTTCCTGGTATGGAGTGGTGCAAGTTCTTTATATATTTTGGGGATCAAACCCTTTTCTGAGGTATCATTGGCAAATATATTTTCCCATATGATTGGTTCCCATTCATTTTGCTAATGTTTTCTTTAGCCATGCAGAAGCTTTTTCATTTGATATAGTCCCATTGGTTTATTCTTTCCTTTGTATCCCTTGCTCTAGGGGACATATTGTTGAAAATATCACTGTGTGGAATATCTGAGATTTTCCTGCCTATGTTTTTCTCTAAGACTTTTATGGTGTCAAGACTTGTATTTAAGTCTTTTATCCATCTTTAGTTTATTTTGGTGCATAGTATAAGTGGGTAGTCAAGTTTCATTTTTTTGCATGTAGCTGTCCAGATCTCCCAACACCATTTATTGAAGAAGCTACATTTACTCCATGTTATGCTTCTTCCCCCTTTGTCAAATATTAATTGACCATAGAGACATGGGTTTATTTCTGGGCTTTCTGTTCTGTTCCATTGATCTATGTGACTGTTCTTATGCCAGTACCAAACTGTTTTGATTACAGTGGCCTTGTAATATAGTTTGATAACAGGTATTATGATCCTTCCTATTTTGTTCTTTCTCAAAATTACAGAGGATATTCAGAGTCATTTATAGTTCCATATACATTTTTGAAATGCTTTTTCTATATCTGTGATTTTGAAAGAGATTGTATTGAATCTATAAATTATTTCAGATAGAATGGACACTTTGCCCTGGCTGGCGTAGCTCAGTGGATTGAGCGTGGGCTGTGAACCAAAGTGTCACAGGTTCGATTCCCAGTCAGAGTACATGCCTGGGTTGTAGGCCATGGCCCCCAGCAACTGCACATTGAT